CGTTGGTTTCTGACACCGCGTGGGGCGTTCAACCTTGAACGATCGGCGGCTTCTCGGTCGCCCGATCGTTCGATGTGGGCCGATTCTGAGTCACCGACGGCGTTCAACCTTGAACGCCCGCGGCGGGGTCGCCTGCCCGTCGGCACGACGCGAACCTACCGCACGGGTTCCATGTGTGGTTTTTCCATGTTTCCCGACACCCAGACCCCGACGTAATGAGTTGTTTTCATTACGTCGACCTCCAGAGGCCCCGACCCTCTCCCCATGACCAGCTTTGAATCCAGAGTCGTTTTTTGACGCTCCCGAGGCCCGGAGAGGGCCCCCGGAGGCCAGAAATGAAGAAAAACCTTCCGTCCCGATTTCCTCACTGCTCGAGGGGGTCTGGGCCCCCCCCGCCCCCCCACTGGAAGTGCAGGGCAGCTCGGGGCCCTCGGGCTGCGTCAGGGTGGCTTTGGTTTTGGACGCCCGCAATGGGTACGGAAAGAATGGGTACAATGCCAAACAGCAGATGTTGTCCCAAACCAACAGCGGCCGCTGTTGGGCAGGCGGCCTCCTGCCTCGAATGGACAAAGGCCGCGGCGGCGTGGACAACGAGTCCTGTTCAAAATGAACCAGATCCGCTGATGCGCAATGTACCCATTCTTTCCGTGCCCGTTTCGTTCGTGCAGAGCCCAAGCCCGGTGAGGGCCCCCGGAGGCAGAAAATTCAGAAAACCTCCCGTCATGATTCTTCCCCTACTCGAGGGGGAAGATCCCTCCGACTTCAAAACTCAGCCCCGACCGGGGCGGTGGTGCGCCGGGGCGCCCCCCTGCGGGCTGACGAGCGCCGCCGCGAGCCCCGATCCGCTGTTGCGCATTGTACCCATTCTTTCCGTGGCCGTTTCGTTCGTGCCCGATTGATGGGCGGTGCTCCTCGAAGTCCACGTGGAGCACGACGCCCACGGGGGCGAGAAGCGCACGGCGCGCCGAGGGGCGGCGGGGCGAGAGGCTCGGGGGCGCCGGGCGCCGGCGGCGAGCGAGGGGGGGAAGTTTCGGGGTTCGGGGCTCGACTTATGGTGTTCCCATCCTAAGTACCATATCACAGAAATAATTTCGAGCACCCAGAATTGGGCGCCCGAGTTATCCGGGGTAACTCGGGTCCGGGGTAGGTCGGGCTTGGATTCCCGAAAAAGGAACCCGAGTTAGCCCTGACCCGAGTTACCCCTGATGATTCGGGGCTCTGGACGCCCGAGTTATCCGGGGTAACTCGGGTCCGGGGTAACTCGGGTTTGGATTCCCGAAAAACGAACCCGAGTTATCCCTGACCCGAGTTACCCCTGATGATTCGGGGCTCTGACAGAAAAGTGTCAAAAGAGTGTCAAAAGAGTGTCAAAAGGGTGTCAAAACGGTGTCGGGCAAATGTCTCCCAGGGCCCGACACGTGAAAACCCTTGAGTTTCGGTACCTTTTCCTGGCGCTCGAAATTCTTTCTGGTGATCAAGGCTGAAGTAGGTTGGAACATCACAAGGCCGACGAAGCGAAGAGGGCCTCGCGCGCGAGCTCTCGCCGCGGCGAGCGCGCGGCCGCCGGCGCGCCGGCACACCGCGCGGAGAGAAGGGGGCTCGCTTGCCCGGGGCCTGGCACGGGAAGCCATACCTACAGGGGCCCGACCACAAGAAACCTTGCACTCCCACTTCCTCCTCCACCTCCTCCTCCTCTTCCTCCTCCTCCTCTTCTTCTTTACTTTTATTATTATTCGTATCACTATTATTACTAGTATTATTACTAGTACTAGTATTGTATTATTCCTCTTCTTGCATTCGTCATCTCGTTGTTATTCCTATATTTCGTATTGTGATTATTCTTCGTATTATTATGAATATTCGTCTTATCATTATTCTTATTGTCATTACTATCATTCCTTTTCCTCCTCCTTCTCCTCATCCTATACATGAAGAAACCCTCGGGCACACCCATCAATAGACACAAATCCCAGGATCCCCCACATTTTCCAATATGTTCTGAGTTCTCAAATTCCCCCCCCACACTTCCCATATGTTTCCATATCTTCCTTTTTTTTTGGAGGGAGACGATGGGAGCGGGCCGCATGATTCAAGAACCACCGTCGTAACGCGAATGCCGGTTGCACTTGAAAGCCGTTCTCTTCCTCGCCAAGCGTGTGGGAACGGACGCACACACAGTGCCGAGAGAGAGGAAGAGGAGGAGGAGGAGGAGGAGAGGAGGAAGGAGGAAGAAGAGGGGAGCCCTGGCAGGTTGGTTCCGTGGCATTCGGAAGCGGGCGCAAACTGATTTAACAGTTTTTAACGCCGGATTGGGCGGAAACTGCTTTAACAGTTTTAACGCCGGCTGCGCCGAAACAGAGGAACGGGGCGTGCCATGTGCCTGTACCCCCCAAGGCCTAGACAGCCATTGGTACTTCCCACATCATGCACACTAGGGCGAGGCGGAGAGGAGAGGAGGAGAGGGAGAGGAGGAGAGCGGAGAGGGAGGGCGGATACGAAATGCCCCAGGTTCGTATCATCGAGCACGTACATAACATGGAAAACTCACGAAACGGTGGTGTACAACTGAAGCCTAAGGTCCCCAGACCGCGACCATGAACGACCACGAATCCTACGGAACAGAGGGCGAGGCTGAACAACTGCACGCACAGCGCACTGAAGCATATTACGATTCATTAGTCCAGACAAAAAGGGGGAGGAAGGGAGGGGGGAAGAGGGAGAGGAAAGAGGGGGAGGGCAGTTCCGACCCCGCTAGGGGACGGACAAACGACCCTCAACAAAGCCTCGGACCCACCTGCAAAAAGAGGGCGAAGAAGAGGGGGAGGGCAGAGAGGAGGGAGGAAGGGGGAGAGAGAAGAGAGCTGAACGCAACCCTTCTGGTTGTCCGGCGGATGCCAGGAGCTATCGAGGATACCACGCGTGCGAAGCCACCGGCACTAGAGAGAGGAAAAACTGCACTGGCCCCGGGCTCGGGGGGAGCATACACAAGGACAGAATAGGCGATGATTTGGGGGAGTACACCACAAGAGCAGGGAGGGGAGGCGGGGAGGCGGGTGGAGAGAGAGGCCTTGCCACGACCGCCCCCAGACGTTGGAGTAGTGGATGCTGTGCGTGTCGTTGCTGCCCTAGCGGGCCCGGTTGGCGAAGTGCTCGGTCAGGGGGGCGCGGAAGGCCACGCCGTCTGCCAGTGCCTGCGGCCAAGCGCCCGTGGCGGAGGCTTGCCCGCGCCGTGCTGCGTTGGTGGCCCTGAAGGTCGCGTACAGACCGAGAGCGCGGAGGGCAAACGTGCGTGGCGACGCCTCGGCCAGCAATAGGAACTCGTCCAGCCGCGATGCCGGGGGGCCCTGCTGGAGGCACAACTGTGTACGGTAGAGCCGCGCCACGACGGGACAGTAGGCGAAGTGTCGGAGGTCGCCATGCCCATGCTGACAGCCGAAGAGGCATGGCGACGCTGGCTTGGTTGCCCAACCATCCAAGAGCGCTTTGAGCACAGCAGCCCAAACGCAGGGCGGCACCATTGGCCCAAGGCGGCAAAGTGTAGATTCGAAGCGCTGCACCCGGCGCCCCGGCAGAGTGAGCAAGGGCAGCCGGTCCAGTCTGCGGCGCAGGTGCCGGAAGAGACCCACTGTGTCACGAGCGCCGAGTATTTCTCCACATCGGCGCTGCCATCGCTGCTTCGGTGCGGGGGTGGTGGCAGAACCCTGCAGCAGCAAGTCCACGGAGAGCCCCTGGGTCGTCGCAACCGTTTCGAGCCGGAACTGCGCCTCGAGGACCGTGCTGATGAAGTTGCCGTCGAACCAATGGGCCCAGGTGGCGAGGCGCTGCAAGTGGTCCGATGAGGAGCGGGCACGCTGCAGACGCCGAGCACGACGGGTAAGTCGCAGGCCGCCATGCGCGATGTCTTCCCAGCGAAATACACGACATTTGGCTCCCTACGCCATGGCCTCCACACTGGGAAGCTCAGAAGCGAATCCCAAACTCCGGAGGTGCTGGAGAACACATGGGGTGGCCCAGCCCCGGGCTCCAGGGAAGAGAGTCGTGAGGAGCCGTTGCTCTGTTCGCGGCCAGTGCGGGGGTAACTGGTCCAGCTGCGCTGCAAAGCCCGCGAGAGGCAGGATGTGCATTCGGTACGCTGCCAGCGTCACGAGCCAGCCCCCGCCGATCTTGTTCCACGTCCACGCGCGGTCCTGCATCTCCTTGAACACCTCATCCTAGAGGCGTGCCCCACGGGTGGGGCCCAGCCAATAGCCAAGGTACTTCGCGTGGCTCGAGATGGTGAAGGCGCCCCACCGGGTCGCCGCTGCGGCGACAGCAGCACGTACCTGCTCGCGCGTGTGCAGGGAGAGCGGCACAATGATGGATTTGCCACTGCGTAGACGAAGGCCAGAGACAAGCCCGCATTCGTAGAAGATCGGCTCTAGCAGTTCGCAGTCTGCGGGGCCCCGGCGGAGGACGGGGGCAATGTCGTCCGCGTACGCGCGAAGGGCCGCGTCTGGGCAGAGGCGGCGAATCCGTCGCAACACCACGTCCGAGATGATGGCGAACAGCAGGGGAGATAGAGGGCAGCCCTGTCGAACCCCCGCGGTAATGCCAAAGCCGGCGTCTGTAAGCCCGCAGAGGGAGAGCTGGCACAAGTTGTCGGTGTAAAGAATTGCCGCGAACCGCCGGAACCATGCGGGCCATCTCCGCTCCGCCAGGACTCGCTGGGGGAAGGTATGGTCGAGGCTCGGGAACGCCGCCTCGAAGTCCAGGAAGACCGCCAGGGGGAACTCCTCGAGGCACGCGTCTGCCAGCATCTCCTCCTCGATGTCGATGACGTTGGCCAGCATGGAACGCCCGCTCAGGAAGCCGCGCTGTTCCGGAGAAACTCCGGCCTCGACCAGCGGCTCGACGTGCAGGCGCACTGTGCTGCAGAGGATGCGGTTGTCGATATTGGTAAGGTTAAGTGGCCGCATGTTGCTTGCTGGGTAGACCGCGGTGCCATTTGCTGACGTCGAAGTGGGCTTCTTCGGTAAGAATACCATGACACTCTCGTTGAAATCGCGCCACGCCTCCTGGACCATGTCGAGCCCTGTGGGGGCGATCATCGCCTCGAACGCTTCGTGGAAGGCGTCGGTGGCTAAGTCCACTATCTTACGCCACGCTTTGAAGGGGATGCCATCCCGGCCCGGTGCGGAGTTCCCCGACTTGCGAATCGCCTGCCGGAATGCACGACGCGGCACAGCGAGGTGGGGCAGGTGGTCGGTGTAGTCGGCTGGGAGGTGCTGCGCATCTCCTCGCAACCAAGTGTCCAGCAGGGACGTGTCCATGTCCTTCCGGCGGAAGACCTCGGACCAATGGCCGCGAAGAATGCCGAGCATCTCCTGGGGGTCCGTCGTCGCCTCCCCGGTAGGCGCGTCCAGCGCGAAGTGCTGACAGCTGCGGCCCGGCGCGAGCTTGCAGACCAGCTGCTGGTTCCGCCGCCGCCGGCGCGCTGCTTGGGCCGGCTCCAGCTCGCGGAGGTCCTCGTGCAGCTTGTTCAGCTCCTGCATGGTGAAATCCCGCTGCAACTCCATCACGTGACTACGCACCCGCGCAAGCCGAGGGCCCGGCGGGGACGTGAAGTCGCAAGGATTCGCGACCATATCCCGCAAGAGCGGATACCGCTCGAGGCATCGGGAAATACGTTCTGGACTGCAGGCCTCCGAAGCCCTGAGGAATTTCATGCACACGACGATGCGGTCATCCAGCTGCTCCGCCGGGGGGGCGGAACCCACCTGGGAAGCCAGGGCCAGCTCCGCCTGGCGCATCGCCTGCTTCAGCAGCTGGAGCCAGGTCAGGGCGTGCGCGTCGGGGTTGTTGTGAAGGAGCTCCTGCCAAGCTAATGCGACCTGCCGGGGGGAATCTGGATGCTCGAGGGCCTGGTCCCCGAGGGGCGCCGGTCGGTCTGCGCGCGGCTGCGCGGGGCTCTTCCGGAAGCTGAGTGGGCGGTGGCGGACAACTCGGGGCACCATGCCAGGGCGGTGCAGGCGCAAGCCTTGCCGAGGTACTCGACGTCGTACTGGTTGCAGTACACGCGGTCCAGCCGCGCTCTGGTGTCTGGTGCCGCGTACGTGTGTTCCGGCTGGTAGAGCTCGTGGATGCCGCGGGGGACCTCTACCAAGGTGCGCCAGCTGGTGGCGTCGCGGTGGCCCCGATGGCCCGCGGCTGCGCCCGCGGAGATGCAGACGCGCTCTGGCGGGCGGAGTGCGTGATTAAAGACCCCCCCAAGGATGCTTAAAGCCTCCTCGCGGGGACGGAGGCGGCGGGCCAGCCGATGCCGCAACGCCTCGCGGAGCTCGAAGTTGGAGGGGGCGCGCTGGGCTGGGTCGAAGCCGGCCTCCACGACGTCCTCGGCAGGCGTGGAGTCCCCCGTGTGGAAGTACACCGTGTAGATGTCCAGCGAGCCTTGGCCCCCGTCGAGGCGCAGCACCGCCGCGCGGCCAGGGAATATAATCTCGAAGTGGACCCGGCGTGCGAACAGCTTGAGGAAATCCGTCTCGACAGCGATGCCAACGCCAGCCGTCCCGGAGGAGGGGCCTGGGGACCACCACGAGGTGCAGCCAGGAGGCTCGCGCCAGAGGGCGCCCCGGTCGGCCGCGCCATGGCTCTCGGACCAGACGCCCGCATCGTGCGTGGCCATGAGCCGGTGCACGTGTCGAGACTTATCCCTGTGGCGGAAACCGTCTGCGGCGAACAGCGCCTGCGTGTTCCATATTGTCAGGGAGAGCTTGCCGAGGTACTGGCCCTGCTGTGGGGGGGGCCGACCGCCCGCCCGGCCCGCGCCGAAGGTGGGGCCCAATGGGCTGGTCACCGAGGAGGTCCCCAGATCAGCATGGCCCCTCAGCGTGCCACGCAAAGCGCGCCACAAGGCCTGCCGACGTAGGATCTGAACGGGGACGTCTCGTTGCAGCTGAACGGCCGTGTTGTCGTTGTAGGGGTGCAGCCAATGAAGATGACAGAGTGGTCGGGCAGGAAGCTGTGGGCGTAATCGTGGCAGGGGGTGATGTGGCAGGTACTCGAACGAAGGAGGAGAGGGGCAGCGTGAGGGTGGTGACGCATGTGCGGTCCTCTGAGAGCTGGGCGGCCCATCGCCAATCGCCATCGCCCAGAGCCCTGGGTCGCCATTGATGCGTATCTCGGTCATGTAGTCCGTGGCCTGGGGCGCTCCCTTGGTCTTACCTTTGCGGCGGCGCGAGGCTGCCAATGACGCGGAGGTAGCAGATGGGAGGGCATAGGGTCTCCCGCCAAACCGGCTCGACTTCCAACGGAGCTTCGTGATGAGACTAAGCTCCCCCTCTCGGCAGAGCCCGTCCATCAACTGAGTCCAAGTTTCTGCGGAAGCGTCAGTGCGTACCAGGAGTTTGTTCGGGGTGAGGAAAAGGGCCTCCGAGCAAAGCGGCCAGGCCTTCAGCATCACCGCAGGTGAGAGACACTCGAGGATCATGGCGTCCTCTGCCACGTACAAGCTCCGATGGCCGATAAGCATCCCTTGCGAAAGCACCGACCGCTGCAGCCTGCGGAGCAGGAGCTCCTTGCCAAGCTGCGATAGGGCTGGTGGGAGGAGTAGCTCCACGGATGTCCGGGGAGACTCGTTCGTGCTGCCAATGCTACGCGTGGGGTCTCGAATCGGACTGCTCCGGAACTCCTCCAAGGTGGCCAACTTGGACATGAGGGTCGGCAGGAGGTTCAACGGAGTGTCGATGGTGACATTGTCGGAGCCAGTAGTCTTCAGGAGTGGGGTCCGAGATAAGACAATCGCCGGGGGGCTCCGCGGGCCCGTGCGCGCGATGCGGAAGCAAGCCAATCCTTGCCGAACATGGCGAGGTCCACGCAGTCCGGGGAGGATGTACTCCAACGGCTGTGGAAGAAGATGGATGGCCTGGACGATCGCCGCGTGCTTCTCCCCGAGCAGAAGGTGGTGCCACAAATCGAGTATCTGTGTCATCGTAGCCGCCCCAGGAAAGGAGGGAAGTGGCGTGATCAGCAACATCGATGTCGGTGCCTCCGTGGAGGCACGTCGCAGAAACTGTGACAAGATCCGCTGCAACGCCTCAGTGTCGGCGGGCGCCCAGGCCAACAATTGCTGACCCCTCATCTCCTGGAGGAAGCGGGCGTCGCCCTTCTCCAGGAGGTCCGACAGCCGACGGTGACGCTCGACCGTGGGGGCGTGGCGGCCCCGCGGGTCGAGGACCTGTGACCATTGCGTGAGGAAGTCGTGCCCTTCCGCGCCCGGCAGGGCCCGGATAGCTGCTAATGCATCCCCTCCCAGCTCCTTCCACTGCGGGAGGCGGTCGGGGCGGAGCTGCCGTCGAGCCATGCGGACGTCGGGCAGGCAAGCCTCGCAGTGCGCTGCCGCCGCCGAGATCATCACGTCCGCCTGGTTGGCCAGGACCCGGTCCGCCTCGGCTCAGGCCTCACTTTCCCCGAGGCTCAAGAGGAGGTGGGCAGTACGGGCCCTCGCCAGGATGTCGCGTTCCGTAGGTTCTGGGCCGCATAGTGGTCCGAAGCCCAGCTGCGCCCAAGGATCAGAGTCGTCCAGCCTGTAGGCGAGCTTGCTCAGGATCGCCTTGAGGTCCGGCCAAGTTCCCGGGAAGGACACTGCGGTACGATGCTGTTCGGAAGCCGTCCTGCCCGCCTGGACGAGCTCGACGTACTGGAGGGCCTCCGCCTCAAGGAGCTCCTGGAAGTCGTGCGCGGATAGGAGGAGCTGGGGAGAACCAGACTGCTGACCTGCGGACGGCAGCGCGGCAGGCGAGGCGGCAGCAGCAGCGGCGATACCGGCGGGGTGCGCTCCGGCAGCTGCTGGGGGATCAAGTCCAGGTGCAACCGGGGCTCCAGCCAGCTGCAGCGCCTCTGCAGCCTGGGTGAGGCCTGACCCCTCCGTGTCGTCGTCCTGGGAATCGACGATTCATTGTGTCTGTGTGTGCTTTCCCACTCCTGAACACAGTAGGGGCCCGACCACAAGAAACCTCCCGCAAGAAGCCCAACCCTGAGACCCCAGGACGTCCATCGATCCTCGGTGCGGGAACGCCACGCCTCCCACGGCAGAACCCTCGAAACCCAAGAAGCCCGGGGCACCCTGGAGGCGAGCCGGATTGCCTCTCGGCATGGGTCCCTGCTGCAGCGCGCGAGCGCCAGAGGGCCGGCAGGGCGACCAGCGGACGGGTCCTCGGGCGTTGCTCGGCGGCTCTCGGCGGTGCTGCAGCCTCGGGGTGCGCTGCAGCGGCTGCGCCTCGCCGAGAGTCGTCCGTGGGTGCCCTCCTCCTCCTCCTCCTCCTCCTCCTCCTCCTCCTCCTCCTCCTCCTCCTGGATCGTCCCCGACGGCCGATGCAGAGCCAAGGGCACCATCAACACTCGAGGAGCAGCGCTGGCGGCGCCATGGCTTCAGGGGCTACGTTACGGTGGGATAGCCTCAAGGGGAATGCATCGGCCCCCCATCACCAACTGATCGCCGCGAGGGACCCGATAGCACCGCCCCGCCCAGGAGCGCGCGGATTCGCTATCGGGGGACCTACTCGCCGATCTCTCGGCGACTTATCGCCGATTCCAGGTCGACGTTCCCCGAGTAGGGGGGGGAGCCTTCCCTGGGGCGCCAAAAAGACATGGCGGCGCGCACAAGGCAGGTGGCGCACGAGGAGCCCCCGGACTGCCGCCACCACGTAGCAATAAGCAGGCTTGGAACTCAGCAAATCGAGAACAGGTCGCGAAAAATCCAGACGATACACGGCCGGACCTAGGACAGAAGAACATCCTTCAAGAACCTGAGACCCTCCGCCGGCGACAACACCCCCAAACCATAAGATGACGGGTACCCTCCCCCAGGATGTACAAGAACATTCGAGGCCTGGAAATGGGCACCAACACCAACACAGGGGGGTGCGCCTCCACAGGGAGAAAATGATCCTCCATTGCGGTGTTGGAGGTAACAGTTCGGCCACCCCGGAAACCAGAATATGACCACCATCACCGAAATCGGGACCTCCTTCCGTCGGTGGAGGCACACCGCCGACACGATGGTGTTGGTGCCAACCTCCAGGCCTGCGAGAACATCCAACACACACACACACACACACTCGGGCGTTGGCAGAACTGGATTTAGTGTGACCTGGTTTATGGATGTGTACTGGGGGACGCCCCCCCCGCCCCGTTCCTCTAACCAGAACTGCCGTCACCCGAAAAACTCCAGCTACGGCAGACCCGGTTTATAGTGATTCTGGCCCATGCAGGGGCTCAGGGGCCCTGCCACTCACTGGGTCCCCTCACCTGGGGTCCTGGCCACACCCGACATCCACATCAACGAAGACCAGCAAGGCGCCCTGCCCGAGCCGACCTCGATCTCACGCCGCGGGCCCGCTGCCTGCTCGCGCCCGGCCTCCGCGCAGGGCGCTCCGCCCCTGCGCTCGCCATCGCTCGGACGTCCATTCCCTGTGTGTCTTGTTCGGTTTCGTGCGTGTTTTTTTGTTTTTCGCCACATGATCGAGGATACTCCTCGATGGTCCTCGCCGAGGAAAAAACGCACAAGTCCGATCGGGAGCGGCAAAGAGGGGGGTGTCCAAGAGGGGCGGGTGCAAATCATGACCGGCGGCATGTGCGCGGCCCAGCGGGGGGGCCAGGGACGTAATGAAATAAGAAGAGGCGCCATGAAATCTGGGGAAATATCATGGCCCACGCCATGATATCCACCCCCCCCTAGTCATCACCCCCCTCTTTTCCGCCCCCGATCCGAGCGATGCCAGGTGCCCGCCCCGGGCCGCCCCGGCCCCTCGCCTCCGCCGCCCTCGCGCGCGCCGCCGGCAGGGGCGCGGCCCGCCACTCGGGGCCCAGGGCGGCGGCGGAGACGGCGCGAAGGGGCGCAGAGCCGCGCGAGCACCGCCGCTCGGAGGCCCGCGCCGGGCTCGTCGGGTCCGCACCGGGCCGAGCAGACCCCAGGACCGCGAGAGGTCTCGCGACCCCCCCCCCCAAGAAGGCCCCACGGCCGCGGAAGGTCTTCAGAACCCCCCCCCCCGATGTGGCCTGTGCGGCGGCCTCGTTGACGGACGGGGGTCCTGGCAGCAGTGGGCCATCCGCCGCCGTGCCCACGGGCACGGCGTGGGCGCGTCCTCGGGTCCGTTGCCCAATCCCCTGAGCCTCAGGTTCTCACTTCGGTCCGGGCGCGTCGCGCGCCCCTCGGGCTCCCCCGCGTCTTGTCGCGCGACCTGTTTCGGGCCCATGAAGGCCCCCAGACAGGCCCAGAGGGTCACAAGAAGCCTCCAAGTCGGCCCAACCAAGACGGCCTCGAGTCGCGGAGAGATCGGCCCAAGACGCCCAAGATGGCCTCAAGGTGGCCCAAGAGGCCTCCATAGGGCCCCAAGAGGCCTCTAAGATGCCTCCAAGAGGCCTCCCAAGAGGGCCCAGAGCGACAAACATCATATGTTTTCCTTTGGTGCTTGGAGGAGTTGGGCGTTCTCGCCTTTTCGGCTTTCCGACGCTCCAAGACGGCCCAAGAGCTCGAAACGGCCCAAGAGGCCTCCAAGAGGGCCCCAAGATGACCTAAGAGCGCCTCGAGAAGGCCCACGAGCGCCCCGAGACGGCCCAAGAGGGCCCCAAGACGGCCCCAAAAGGGGCCCAATATGGGAAACACGAACCGAAAATGCGAGCCCTCCGCCCCAAGCGACCGCAAAGAGGCCCTCAAGAGGCCCCACAGAAGCCCAAAAGAGGCCCCTAAAGGCCCCCAAACGGCCCCTGAGAGGCCTCCAAGCTGCCTACGAGAGGCCCCCGAGATACCCCCCCACAAGATCTCAACGAACATCCAATAGGCGTCATACCCACAACCCAGGCACGGTGGCGGGATGGGCCGAAGTCCATTCAATCCGCCGCCCCCTGTTGCTTGCAAGAGGGTTGCCTGGCGTCCCCGCGGCCACCCGGAAAGGAACTCAATCCAACAAAAATCCTCCAAGACAGCTCAAGATGACCTCCAAGATGGCCACGCTGGCCCAAGATGGCCTCCAAGATGGTCCAAGATGGCCTCCAAGTTTGCCCAAGATGGTGCAAGACAGCCTCCAAGACGGCCCAAGAGAGTCCAAGATGGCCTAAGACGGCCCCAGAGGCCCCCCAGAGGCCTCCAAGACGGCCCCAGAGGCCTCCAAGAGGTCCTCCAGGAGGGCCCGAAGAGGCCAAAAACATTGATTTTCCTGAGGTCTTTGAAGGATTCTGGCATTCGCTTCTTCTCGGCATTCCGACGGCTCAAGACGGCCCCAAAGGCCCCCAAGATCGCCCCAAAATCGCCCAAGAGGGCCCCATGACGGTCCAAGAGGCCTCCAAGACGGCCCCAAGAGGGCCCCGAGACGGCCCAACAGTCATCCGAGACGCCCAAGATGGCCTCCAAGACGGCCCCGAAACGCCCCAAGAGAACCCCAAGTCAGTTCAGAGAGGCCCCCCAAACGGCTCCCGACGGCGTCAGACGGGCCAGGAACACCATAAGACGGCCAAAGAGGCCCCCGAGAAGTCCCAAGAAGGCCCCAAGAGGCCCTCAAGAGGCTCCAACATTGCCTCCAAGACGGTCCCAAGATGGCCCAATCGAGCCCAAGAGTACCTCAAGAAGCACCGAAGAGACATCCTCCCCCTTCTCCTTTGTCCTCCTTCTCCTCCGTTGCCTCTTCCTCCCCCACGCGTTCCCCGAAGGCTTTTCAAACCGACTCGGGGAGCACATGGTCCGATAGCTTCGCCCCCCTGCCCAAGACGTTCCAAGAGGCCCCAAAGAGGCCTCCAATGAGAAGCTCCCAAGCGGCTCCAAGAGTGTCCCCAGAGGCTCCCAAGATGCCCCCTCTTCCTCATTCTCCTCCTCCTCCTCCTTCTCCTCCATCTCCTCGTTCTCCACCTCCTCCTCCGCCTCCTCCTGATCTTCCCCGCCATCCTCCACCACGTGTTCCCCGAAGGGTTTCTACAACGGCTGGGGGAACACATGGTCCGATAGCTTGGAAGAGCTCTTGCCACAACGCTCGGCCACATGGGCGATTCTAGAAGGCAGGGGGCGGCGGTGATTCGCCGTAGGCGTCTTCGATCCGCCGCCCCCTGTCGATTCATCACAGGGGTGCCTGGCGTGCTAGATCCTTTCGGTTTTGGTTGTGGTTCTTGTTTCAAAAGAACTCCCCCTGGGGCTTCGGCCCGTCCCGCCGGCCACCCAGAAAGATCTCCCGGCTTGCCCAGAGGTGGTTGCAGAGGGTTGTTGCTGCTCCAGAGGGCTCCAGGACGGCCCAAGATGGCTTCTAAGACGCCTCCAAGACGGCCAACATGGCCTCCAAAACGGCTCAGATGGCCCCAAGATGCCTCCAAGATGGCCCAACTCCAAAACGGCCTAAGATAGCCTCAAGATGGTGCAAGACGGCCCATGAGGCCCCCAAGAGTCCCCCAAGACGCCTCCAAGAGGTCCTCAAGGAGGGCCCGAAGAGGCCAAAATCATTGGTTGTCCTTTTCGAAGGATTTGGGTATTTGCTCCTTTTCGGCTGTCCGAAGACATCAAGACGGCCCAAGAGGCCCCCAAGATCGCCCCAAAATCGCCCACGAGGCCTGCAAGATGGCCTCCAAGACGGCCCAAGATGTTCCCAAGACGGCCCCAAGAGGGCTCAAGACGGCCCAAGAGGCCTCCAAGACGGCCAAGCTGGCCTCCAAGACGGACCCGAAGCGCCCCCAGAGAACCCCAAATCAGTTCAGAGAGGCCCCCCAAACGGCTCCCGACGGCGTCAGACGGGCCAGGAACGCCGTAAGACGGCCAAAGAAGCCCCCGAGAAGCCCCCAAATGGCCATATGAGGCCCTCAAGAGGCCCCAAGAGAGCCCAAGATAGCCCCAACATGGTCTCCAAGACGGTCCCAAGATGGGCCAATCGAGCCCAAGAGTGCCTCAAGAGGCTCCGAAGAGGCATCCTCCCCCATCTCCTTTTTCCTGCTTCTTCTCCTCCTTCCCTTCCTCCCCCCCCGCGTTCCCCGAAACATTTCCAAACCCACTCGGGGAACACATGCTCCGATAGCTTGGCCAAGCTCTAGCCCAGCTGTCGGACACGTAGGCGCTTCCACAAGGGCAGGAGTCGGCGGCGATTCGCCGTAGGCGTCTTCGATCCGCCGCCTCCCGCCGACTCATCACAGGGGTGCCCGGCGTGCTGAATCCTTTCGCGTTTGGTTTTAGTGTTACGTCGGGCCTGTCCCCCTACAGGGGAATTTTGGACGAATTCTAAAAAAATGCGCAACAAATATTCAAACGATACCCACAAAAATACTGAAAAGCATCATCCCCGGACTATGTTTTGACGAATTTTGATTGTTCCCCCTGTAGCGGGACAGGCCCGACATGATTCTAGTTCTTTTGTCCACCAAGAGCTCCCCCCTGGGGATTCCGCCCCGCCCGCCGAGGTCCTGGAAGGGCCCCGCAAGGGTGGTTCCAAACGATGCTCCTGCTCCAGTTGGGCTCCAAGATGGCTTGCAGGATGGCGCCCAAGATGGCCTCCAGGATGGCCTCCAGGTGCGCCACGAGATGGTCCAAGAGAACCTCCAAAACTGCCCAGGAGAGTCCAGAATGCCTCCAAGTTCGCACAGGAAACCTCTCAGACGGCCCAAGACGGCCTGAGAGGCCTCCAAGAGGCCTCGAAGACAGCCCAAGGGGCCTCCAAGAGGTCCTCCATGAGAGCCCGAAGAGGTCAAAATCAATGTGTTCCTTCGGATTTTGAAGGATTCTGGCTGCTGTTATTTTCGAGTCTTCCGACGGCTCACGACGGCCCAAGGAGCCCGAAAGATCGCCCCCAGATCGCCCACGCTGGAGAATGCGTCGGGCGCCGCGAACGCTTCAGAGCGTTCCTGCGCGCTCTGAGAGCGTTCTGGAACGCTCTTGAACGATGGAGGAGGAGGAGGAGGGGGAGGAGGAGGAGGAGGAGGAGGAGGAGGAGGAGGAGGAGGAGGAGGAGGAGGAGGAGGAGAGGAGGAGGAAGAAGGGGAAGGAGAAAGAGGAGAGGAGGAGGAGGAGGAGGAGGAGGAGGGGAGGAGGGAAGAGGAGGAGGAGGAAGAAGAGGAGAAGGAGGAGAAGGGGGAGGAGGAGGAGGAGAAGGGGAGGAGAAGGAGGAGAGGGAGGAGAAGGAGGAGAAAGGAGGAAGGGAGAGAGGAGGGGAGGAGGAGGAGGAGGAGGAGGAGGGGAGGAGGAGGAGAAGGAGAAGAGGAGGAGGAAGAGGGAGAGGAAGAGGAGGGGGTAGGGAGGAGGAGGAGGATGGGAGGAGGAGGAGGAGGAGGAGGGGGAGGAGGAGGAGGAGGGAAGGAGGAGGAGGAGGGGGAGGAGGAGGAGCGAGGAGGAGGAGGAGGAGGAGGAGGAGGAGGAGGAGGAGGGGAGGAGGAGGAGGAGGAGGAGGAGGAGGAGGAGGAGGAGGGGGGGAGGAGGATGCATCCTCGTCTGGGCCTGCCCGACCCCTGCCCATTGCGCGCGAGGCGCGTCGGGGGGGGGACGCCAAGAGGCGCCCTGCCAGGGGGGGGTCCAACGGGGAAGTCTGAGAAATCTAGCGCTGGCCTCCGAGCCCTCGTGCACGTACATGACTACCTACCAGACCACCCCAACCCAACCCGAAGACCCGAATTGGACCCGAATTTCGGGTTGGGGGGTGGAGTGCGGGTTCCATGTGGTTTTTCAATGTTCCCCGACCCCCCCCCCCCCACCACTGGAAATGGAGGGCAAATTGAGGCCTTCGGGTTGGGTTGGGGTCGTTTGGTGGGTGGTGAGTACAGTCAATCGGCGGCGGGAGAGGGGGCGAAAAGGAGGAGGAGGCCTTCTCAGAAGGCTCGGAAGTCCCGCGGCCTTCTGAGAAGCCTTCTACGCCTTCCCCGAAGACACAAACGAAACTTCTCAGAAGGCGCGAGGGCTCTTGAGAAGTCCCGCCGCCTTCAGAGAAGGCCCTCTCCTTCTCACTTTCCCCCTCGTTCGCCGCCGAGTCAACCCGTATGACAAGAACGCACGACAAAGATCGACCTGAACAATGATGTTTGTTTTCGTTATGTTGTCGCTTTCCCTCGTTTTGTCTTCAATCCGACTTTGCTGCGGAACGAGGTCGAAACGGAAACGGCCCCCAAAATCGCCAAAGCACTGTTTGGGTCGACCCCTGACGCACGATAAGGATGCAGGGCCTTGGAAGGTCACTTCGTCACTTCGCGAGCGGGGCGCGGCCAGCGAAAGCGGCTAATGATGGGCTGAAGGGGAAGGATGCAAGGGTACCCGCGGGAAGTCGGTCATCCTTGCTGTCCGGGTTGACTGTATCGAACTTTGCCCTTCGAGATAAGGCGTCTGGCGTTTGCGTTGGAGAGGAGCTCCCCGTCCATGCGGATGACGATCCTGCGCCGTGCTGGCACGCAACCCCTGGCCGATCTCCAGAGCATGCCGTAGTCAGGCACGCACGGGAACGTCTCGTGGCCGCCCTCGGCGCCATCGGGCGTGACAAAGACAACGGTGATCGGCACGTCCAACTGCTGCTCGTCATCTACGAGGAGGTAGCTGTCAGACTGGGAGCCAGTGACGCCAGAGAGGGCGGCATCTGACATCGCCTCGGGCACAGAAGGTCGAGCATGGATGCCCCCCGGTTCACTGTCGCTCGCGAGGTCGTCGCCCGACACGACCTGCCACTGCTGCTCAGCATCAGCCTCGTCACTGCCCATGGCAGCACCGCTGGCCTGCTCAGCCTCGCCACAACACGACATTCCACTGGGCCCTCTTGTGGAGGGCCACCGGCTGCTCGAATGAGGCATCGAAAAACCTAGCGGCTTGGCCCTCGGCAGCGCAACTAGACCATCGTCAGCGCGACAGACAGGGTGGCATCATGACCTCTGCTCGTCGCACTCAAACCTCGGGACTGCATCATCGCGTTGTTCTCTGTTACCGTCTCGTTTGTAGTTTCTGGAGGAGGGCACATACTGGAGAGGAAGTGAACGGGGGTCATGACCGATACTGAACGCTGAAACATCGTGCCGATCTTGGTCAGCATCCATCTGATCCCGCGTCGAATCGCGGATCATTATCGTGAACTGGCGACGGGTCGCATGCACCATGACCAAAATCAGCGTCGACAAGATTCCGTGACATCTTAGTCATGGTCATCGTATTCAGGGAAGCCCGAAGGTACCAATACCGCCAATCCCCGAAGACCACCTGGGGGTGCGTTCTGACCAGCGTTTCGCGGCGAACTCAGCCGTGGTGGCGAGGGCCTCCCAGGAAGCCCCAAAAGGCGAAAACCCGGGAACGGTGGCGTTATTGGTCGAGGGGAACACACAAATAAACACACACAAGTCCCAGGATTCCCCACATCTTCCCATATGTTCTGGGTGTTCGTTTTCCCCCCCCGATTCCCATAGTTTCCCATACTTTCTAGGGAATCGACGATTCATTGTGTCTGCTCCTCTTCCCCCTCCTCCTCCTCCTCCTCCTCCTCCCCCTCCTCCTCCTCCTCCTCCGCCTCCTCCTGCGTGTTCTGTCCCTCTCATTGGTACCTCTGTACTGCTGCGACTGCCTCTCACCTCGAGCGCTGCCCCGCCCTGGGGCGGCGGCCGCTCACGCCGCGACGGGGTCTGTGGCAGTGCTGCGCCAGGCCCAAACGGTGCTGCGCTCGGCCTCCAGGTGCCCACACTGAAGAGGCCCTGGGACACACAGATACATACACACAAACAACAGGATGCCTCATATGTTCCCATATGTTCGAGGTTTTTGTCCTCCCGCCCAATTCCCATATGTTCCTAGATCTTCTTGGGAATACACGATTCATTGTGTCTGTGTGTTTCTTCCCCCTCCTGAGCACAAGCATGTCAGCACAGCAGACGGTGCGCACTTGCTCACACGGCCACGGGACCACGCAGAGCATGGCGGAGCCGCGATCCCAGGGCCAGTCCTCGGTAATGGATCCAGTCTATAGGCGCGGCAGGTCCTAGACAACGTTAGCGTTGCCAGGAGGATCTCAATAGGCCCGCGAGAGGAGCTTTGTGTCAGAGCAACAGGGGGTGGCGGAAACTCGTCGAAGGCAACATTCTACCATCAGACGCTTTGCGGAAAGAGACGGCTTCGGGGGAAACCTTCTGGAGCCTAGACGGCTGCGGTCCCATTCCTAGACACCTTGGACGAGGCGGGGTGCGCCCAGAAACGTGGAGCCTGATCAATGTGGCCTCCAGCGTGGACCAAGCAATTGGAAACTGCACCTCAAAGACGCACACTCACATCACACCCACCCCCACCCCCAAAAAACTGAAGGGGCTCAGTGGCACACACAATATATACACAAATACGAGGATTCCAAACATTTTGTTATAATCTGTGGAAGTTCATCTCCCCTCCACCTCCAACGTTTTCCCAAAATTATCCTGTGCATCGACGAGTCTTTGTGTGGGTGTCTGTTTCCCCTCCTGGCCAAAAGCTGCCCAAAGATGTTCCTGGGCAATCCGCTCCAGTGCAGTCAAAGCAGCCTCCTGGCCCCGAGAGAGGACATAAGGAGGAGGGAGGAGGGAGGAGGTGGAGAATAGAAGGGTGGGAGAAGGCGGGAGGGAGGAGGAAGAGGGGGGAAAAAAGGGAGGGAGGAGGGAGGAGGGAGGAGCTGGAGAATATAAGCGAGGAAGAAGGAGGGAGAGAGGAGGAGGGGGAAGAGGATAGAGGGGGTCAGGGACACACACAAATAACCAGACACTACATAATCCTAAGAATCACCGTATTTCTCCACATATTCTGGACGTTCGTCTTCCCCCCCACTTCCTCGAGTTTCCAGATTATCCGGGGGACCGACGATTCGTCGTGTCTTTCAGTGTTTCCCCTCCCGAGAGATCAGAGGAGAAAAAAGGGCGGAATGAGGGGAGGACGGCAGGGAGAAGGAGGGGCGACCTCAAACGACCATCTGTGGAGCGACGGTTAGTCGTGTCTGCGTTGTGTTTTCCCTCCCGAGAAAAAGCAGAGGAGAGAGAAGGACTGAAGGAGGGAAGGACGGGAGGGAGAAGGAGGGGCGACCTCAAACGACCACCTGTGGATCGACGAGTAGTCGTGTCTCTGTTTGTGGTCTTTCCCTCCCGAGGAGAGCAGGGGAGAGAGGAGGACGGAAGGAGGGAAGGACGGGAGGGACGATTGGTCGTGTCTCTCTGTGTGCCCTTCCCCTCCCGAGAGGCGCAAGGGAGAGAGAAAGGACGGACGGAGGGGAGGGAGGGAGGGAGGCAAGGCGACCTCGAAGGACCCCCCTGTGGCTGCACTGGAGCCCGACCTCGCGCGCCTCGCGCCGCGCGAGGCGCGGAGAGATCCTCGCGCACCCTGCGCAACCCCACCCCCAAGAGAACGGTACAGCAGGGGCCCGACCACAAGAAACCCTTCGGGCCCTCCTGCTCCTCCTCCTCCTCCTCTTCTTCGTCTTATTCGTCTTCTCATTCTTAGCATTCGTATTAAAATTATTCGTATTATTCACATTTTCATATCATTAATATTAGTATTAGTCTTCGTCGTTTTAGGCATGTTATGATGTTTCTTCTTATCCGTGTTATCACTGTTCGAATAAATAGTTGTTTCTAATAGCTTTAAAGAAAATAATGTTAGTATTGATCTTACTGTTACTATTAATATATTACTAGAAACATCGCGCGCGCTTCGCGCGCGCGATGGTTCTAGCTCAGGCCGGGGGCGCGCTAGAAGAAATTGGACAGCGCTAGTGACATAGTCGTGCCTCCTGTGGGCCTCTTGGGAACCTCTTGGGTCTTCGTGGGGGCATCTGAAGGGCTTCTGGGGGGTTCTCCGTGCTTCCTGAATTGGCTGTTGGAGCCCGGCGGCCCCGGTGGCGTCCCAGGAATGGTCTCAGGTTTTTGGACAGGAGGCCGCATGTAGACGTACATGAAGGTTTCTGGGGAAGCCTCTCAGAAGCCCGTTGGGGCCCTCTGGGGCTCCTGGGAGCTTCCTGGGAACCTCGGGGGGCCTCTTGGAAGCCTCTGGGGGAGCCTCTGGAGGCCCTTTGGGGCCTGCCGCGGGCGTCTTGGGGGCCTCTTGGGGCCTCTTGGGGGTCTCTCAGGGGCCTCTTGGGGGCCTCCTGGGGCGGGGGGGCTGGAAGGTTCAGTTGGGTTTCCCGTCTTGGGCCCCTCTTGGGGCCCTTCGGGGACGCGTTTGGGCCGTCCTGGGCGCCTCTTGGACTGTCCTGGGCCCCTCTGGGGCCGTCTTGGGGCTCTCTTGTAGGCTTCGTGGGCCGTCTTGGGGCGGTCTAGGGAGAGTCTGAAGTCGTAAAGGACGGTACGAAGCACAATTTTTGCTTCCCAGGGCCGTCTGGGGGGATCTCTTGGAGGGGTCTTCGAGCGTCTTGGAGGCGTCTGGGGCAGTTCGAGACGCCTCTTGAGCCGCCCGCCGGAGACCGCTGGAGGTTGTCTTCAGGGTGGCTCTGGGCGGCCTTGGGCCGCCTGGACGGCCGTCTGGGCGCTCCGGGGGCCGACCTGGGGCCCGGCGGGGAGCGGGCTGGGCCCGACGTCCCCCCATTTATGGTCGAGGCTGCGGCCCCGGGGCCCCCGGGCCCGGTGCGGCGTTATATGTATAATTAATACGAATAATAAGATTACTATTAATATTTTGATTCGCCCTCCTACTCTTCCTCCTCCTCCTCCTCCTCCTCCTGCTCCTGCTCCTGCTCCTCCTCCTCCTCCTCCTCCTCCTCCTCCTCCTCCTCCTCCTCCTCCTCCCTCCTCCCCCTCCCCTCCCCCCCTCCCCCTCCTCCTCCTCCTCCTCCTCCTCTTCCTCCTCCTCCTCCTCCTCCTCCTCCTCTTCCTCCTCCTCCTCCTCCTCCTCCTCCTCCTCCTCCTCCTCCTCCTCCTCCTCCTCCTCCTCCTCCTGCCTCCTCCTCCTCCTCCTCCTCTCCTCTCCTCCTCCTCCTCCTCCTCCTCCTCCTCCTCCTCCTCCTCCTCCTCCTCCTCCTCCTCCTCCTCCTCCTCCTCCTCCTCCTCCTCCTCCTCCTCCTCCTCCTCCTCCTCCTCCTCCTCCTCCTCCTCCTCCTCCTCCTCCTCCTCCTCCTCCTCCTCCTCTCTCCTCCTCCTCCTCCTCCTCCTCCTCCTCCTCCTCCTCCTCCTCCTCCTCCTTCCGTTGCCTTCTCCTCCGCCTCCTCCTCCGCCTCCTCCTCCTTCTCCTCCTCCTCCTCCTCCTCCTCCTCCTCCTCCTCCTCCTCCTCCCCTCGGGTGCAAAGGAACGTACCAGCGACATACAGGAGGGACCCGACCACAAGAAACGTTCCACAAGAAACCCAACCCTGAGACCCCAGGACGTCCATCGATGATTGGTGTGGGAGCGTCACGCTTTTCGTGGCAGAACCATCGAAACCCAGGAAACCCAGGGCACCCAAATAGGGAGAACAGGGGAAATGTAGGAGCACGGGTACCTCCTCCTCCTCCGAACTCTGACGCGTAAAACGAACACCCTCCTCCTCCGCGGAGCGCGCCAGGGGCGGGGCCCGGCGCGGATCCAAGAAATCCGCGCAGAGCGCTCAAAGTGTATGCTCGGGGCGTCCTGCGAGAAAAGGAGGCGGAAGCATCGAGGAGCGGAGATCCAAGCTCGATCGAGGGCCGAGGAGCGAGGGTCGATCGCGGGTCGAGCATCGAGGCGCGAGGATCGAGGCTCGATCGAGGGTCGAGGGGCAAGGGCCGATCGCGGGTCGAGCGCCGAGGAGCGAGGAGCGAGGACGAGGCTGCTCTCGGTCGCAGAGCTGCGCCGCGCC